TTTAGAAATTAAATCTTATAAATTTATATTTTTTATTTAATATATAATTTTAAATTAACAACACTAAAAAAATAATTTTATTTAATATGTAAATTTAATTTTTTAACAACACTAAAAAAATTTAATTTATAAGGCCATAATTTATAATTTATTATTTTTAAATAAATTTAATTTATAATTTATAATTTAAATTTTTTATTTAATATATAATTTTAAATTAACAACACTAAAAAAATAATTTAATTTAATATGTAAATTTAATTTTCTAACAACACTAAAAAAATTTAATTTATAAGGCCATAATTTATAATTTATTATTTTTAATTAAATTTAATTTATAATTTAAATTTTTTATTTAATATATAATTTTAAATTAACAACGCTAAAAAAATAATTTATAAATGTTCAAAAGACTATTTTATCATTTTCTAATTGTTTGCTAAGTAATAGCATGGAGGGTAAAATTGACATTTCACAAAATAATCCCATGGGATACCAATCCCATGGTTTCTATCCCACCTCCTCCCATGGGATAGGATAGTCTCATATTTGTGGGACTAATAGTCCCCCCGGACTATTAGTCCGAAGCAAAAAATTTGAAACAAACAATGGACTATTAATTCGGTAGGGCAAATAGTACAATCCCACCCTCTAATCATTCAAAACAAGCACGCCCTTAGGCATTTATAACGCCTTCTATTGGCTAAACGGTATTGTTTTAATTAATACAAAATGTGACACTTATAAAACGTTGTTAAATATTATAAAAAGTGGTGTTTAAAAAAATTCCATCAAACAAACGCCATTAAAACAAGCATTTCCTATAGTGATATGTAATTTTTGTCCCAAAATCCCACTGGATGCAATTATCCCTTAAAAGAAGACACTAAATTATAAAATAATGTATATATTATTTTTTACGTTGTCCTCAATTAGGAAAATTTAAGGTGAGAAGTTTGGTTGGAAATTGTTAGCTTTTTTAAATCAAAAAAAAAAATTGGTTTGAAATTTTTTTTAATAAAAATTTTCACGATATGTTAATGCATGCCGTGTAAAGTTATAACATTTGTACGACATAAAATGTATGTCGTCTTAAGTGTAAATATTTTACGACATATTTTTGTATGCCGTGAAAATAGACATTTTTTACGGCATGCTTTTGCATGCCATAAAAAAAATTTGAATTTAAATTTTTTTTTAAAAAAGTTTGCACGACATGTTAATGCATGTTATGTAAAGTTATAATATTTAACAATATGAAATGTATGTCATTTTAAGTGCAAATATTTTACGACATATTTTTTAAGTCGTGAAAATATA